CGGAAAGTTTCGTGTTAGTTCATCATACGATAGCAAGCTTCTGAAATTTATATGAGGTAGGTCAAATTATTTTAGCGTCGACTAAACACAGCTTAAAGTCTTTCACCTATTGTTACAAGACCCACCATGGACAGACTTGTGCAATTAAGGTGAGAGATATCCGTACGTTTCGTTCGTGCTTAATCTTATAGTGAGACCAACCCGTTACTTTTTATTTGGACACGAACTGGACATTAAAATCCACTGTTAGTTCGTCCTTCGTCCCGGTTGTGTTTCATTATTAGTGTAAAATACTTACTTTTTCTAAATAATGTATGAACTGTAAAACGTTTTTATTAGTAAATTATTGTTACCACTTTTACCTTTTCTCTTACCATGAATAGGATAAGCCGTCGTCTAATAATCGAATGAATAAATATAACGCTTTATATTCTACGTATGCGTAAATTAACTAGATTGTCTCATAATATAACTACACAACATGATTTTTATTCGATTTTCAGTTGCGTGAATGTGGAAATTTCGTCTTGAAAAATGTATTGCACTTTTGGATGTTAGATTGTAGAGTGCTCATGGACTTTCAGCTAATACACATACAGTAAACTACGCATGGGCTCTTAAACGTCCTGCAGGTGTCGGTTAGCAATATAATGAATGAAAGTTAATCGAATCCAAAATTGAAAATATCAAAATTTAGTTCCCCATCTCTAACGCGACAGCTTGTTGGTCGTCGCACGAAAGCTACACCACTGTTTAAGCATACGCCCTTCGACCATCTTGGTCGCGGAAAAATATGGTAAGTATTGTTTTTGTTGCTAACGATAGCCGTTCGTGTTCAACTGTTTGAAGTGCGTTTCTTCTCAAAACCGACAGTGTTTGGCCACGAGACAGGTCCATTTCCTCAGTCCCAGCCCAGGTTTTTTTAATATGTAGCAAAACCAATTTTTTACAAACGAAATAAATATCTTTACAAACGTTTACAAACGTATGTGATAACTGAAAATTCAAAATGTCTATTTAGGGGTGTGTTCAGAAAGGATACGTTATAATGAACTCTGCGTACATAATTGACGTGAACCATCACTGAAATTGAAGATGACTAGACATAGCTTCTAGTTCAACAAAACGTTTATGATGTGGAAAGCCGCTTTAGAAATGACTGAATTTGACTTAAGGCCGATATCCAAAGATCTACCGCTGCCTTCGAAAACCTACGAGATTTTGGTAACCACGTCGAAAAGTCACCTTCCGGTGATTCTCATCAAGTCCCAAAAATAAGAAAAATAATATAATACAAAATACGGCTCCTGCCTGTACTAATATTAAAATCTGATATTAAAATAAAATAACTGTATGATTCTCTACACTTATAAGTGCTGGAGAATAATACCAGGTGCAAGTATTACAATAACGTTATTACCTTCCTCCGGGTGTTCGAAGGACTATCGAGGTCGTGTATTCGAGAATTTGATCAAATACATAGTACAATATAAATGTATAGGTATGTGGTATGTGCGTATAATATACAATGCAGTTAGTAATAATATATTTTATATTATATGTCTTGCCAGACTTGCAGCTGTCTCTGGGTTATGCTGTAGAAGTAGTGACACAAATAATTAATCAAAATAATTAAACACACTGATTATTGCTCGTCACAAGGAGTCCAGTTGTCTCTCGTAGAATTCGGTATGGAGAATTTGTTACTCTGTTTGGTATTGCGCATGCACTGTCTAAAGGACGACCTGGTTGAGCTGACCCGAGAGTGATAGGCGGCTTCATCAAAAGATTTGATTTGATTTTGTTTAGTACATCCGATATATAGATTTCTCTTCTGCGGCAAAAATCTTTTTTACCATATCTCTTCTCTGGCTGCACGTAAGAAACCTTTACCTTTACAGTTGCAAACATAGTTAAGAGCTGATTTTTTAATCCGTCACCGTATAGTATAAGTAGACTATTTTTGTCTGTGTCGATGATATATTGAGGTCTGGAGATTTCAGATATTTACGTGCGTCAGTCTGCCCGTTTTTATTCTTCGGTTACTTTGTATTGAATTGCTATAATGATATTTGAGCATATTATTACAATGTGTTTATTTTAAATTAATAAACTGTTAAGTGTTTTAAGTATTAAGTTACACTGTAAAATTATTCTTAATTCTAGAATGTTTAGGTTAACTGAATATTTTTAAGTGTTTTTACGAATACGATTGTAGTAGTTATTTTTCTAAGTTCAAAAATATTGTTGAATTAGAATTATTTGAATCCCAATAACAAATTAATTCGATATCATCACGACGTCATAGGAAACTTCTTAAATAGCTTAAAAATCAATTAGAAAATATAGTCCGTCAGTATTCTTAAAAATTAACTCATTATTGAAGGGAGAAATGGAAAAAAGATGCTTGATGAATCACCATGTATAGCGTATACATTTGATTTATTTCATTATTTTATATAATAATTGCAATGAAGTGAAATTTATTTTACTATATTATTATACATTTATTTAGCATATTTTTAAATAGGCAGAGTATGCAGCTACTTTGAATGGATACATTTACTATGGAGTGGCACATTTTTCAATAGGTACTTTAAATTAATTCCTTTTGCGAATTGATCATAAAAGGAAAAATATGTGTATATTACCTATTTACTTTTTATACTATTTATTTAAGGAATTCATAATATTTCATGTCTGGTATTTATATTTTATTGAAAATGGTCATTGGTAGATTTTGCTAGGCGGCAGGTACTGAGTATTATACTAAACCCTTAAAACAAAATCCACAACCCCCCCCCCCCTCTCCCCCGAAATTTCTAGCTAAGGCCTTGATTTTCATATTTTATTATATAATATTACATAATTATACTCAAACTCCCCCCCTAAATATTTTTCTGGCTTTGGTCTTGCTATTATTTATAGCCCTAATACAATTACATTGCATAAAACTTAAATGAGTGCATTTATTATTAAATTTAATCTATCGTTGTTGCTATCGCTTTGAAAATAAATGATAGGCAGGTCATCAGTAAAATATTTTAGTGAAGATGATAAAATTGATTTTTCTTTGTCTGGCATTATTTGGAGAGGCAGTTTTGATATTAAAGGTAAGTTAATTATGTTGTTATTATGTAAACATAATATAATAATTAGGTAACACGTCAAATGCCTCTGTTACCATATTGTTATTTTTATTTGTTATAATAGAATGGGTCATTACAAAAAATGTTTTATTTATAGTAAGTCTATATATATAAATGTCAGTTGAAAAACATATATATATATTATATAATATTTTTTATTTATTTCTTACTACTTTCCATAATATTGAATTATATATATTTTACAGCTTGCAAATATTTGTTTATAATATTATATATAATATGCACACTTTTCTTCTTGATTAGTGTTGGCGACAAATTTCTAGTGCCTATATATTCGTAAAAAGGATAAATCCACCTCTGATTCAGTTTGAATTGCATAGTTTTATGTTATTTTTTTATTCTCAAAAACAATACATGAGCACATCACAATTGAATTTTTAGTATTTATATATTATTCATTAATAATTTCAACTGTAATCATAATTAATTTTAAACGTCTCATAACATCTTCATCATCTTCATTTACCGCAATATACATTTGATAAGAATCGTCAATCACTATAATTGTCATAAGTTAAATGCACTTTCTAAAGTATTCATCATTAAGCCATCATTAATAATTAATTTTATTTATACATTGGCTGTGTTAAGAGTAGAATTGGTGTTCTACGGAATGTTTAAACAGTGTAACAAAGTCATCAACCAATGACTTCTTGATAATGTCTTAAAAATTATACACAATCAGTAGGCGCAGTAAAAAAGTGCAGATCATTGATGTTTTTATATTTTTAAAAACAATGAATATTAATAACAGTTGACAATAGACTGCAAAGTTAGAAAGAAATGTAGTACCTACAAACAAAAATACATTTTCATAAATGTGTATTATACCAGTAACAGTCAAATTCTGACGAAAAATTCAGGTTTGGTCAAAAAGGCAAACAACAGGTAGGGGTAAAAATTGAAAAATCAGCCGAGTCTATCAGACGGAAAATATCAAAAGTGTACTATACAGCATCATAACTGATGAAATTACAGTTGAAAAAAATTTAACAATTTTGAAAGCATGTAATAATTAGGGGACAATACTGTCTTATTGTAGCTACTTCCAAGCAAACACATTTGATAGATATTTTTTCGTCGTAATATATATTATTATGTTTAGCGACGGTCGGACGGGACGGTCTGCGGTAAACTTAAATAAGACTTGAAAAATCACCACTTTTTGGGAAACATCTAACTTTTGCATTGACTGTAGGTAATAGATTAAAAATTACGAAGGATACTATTTTCTAAATAATTGAAATATGCAAAAATGTTTTGTCTCCTTTAGGTATGTACAAAAGATTTGTGCCCAGTGGTGAATTTTGATTAAAATGGGGTTTTTGGGAGGAGAGCTAGAGAATACTAGTGTAGGTACTTACTTGAACACACATTTTTTTTTAAAGTTGTTAAAATTATATTTTATAGTAGCCTGCAGTAGGTATAGTACTGTAGTAGGTACTTTCATCATCCGCGGCATAACTTCAATATTTATTAATCTGCAACATGCATTTTCAACACCACATTCGGACAGAACAATTTTTTACAGTCGTGATTACCTTGGACTATTTAAGTAACTAAACTATTGATTTTTTTTCAACAATCATCTGGTGATTTTCCAAACTTCAATGACATTTCATTATTTCAAGTACTTTTTACCCAACTTTAACTTGCTGACACTCGAGTAACGTCAATTTTTAAAAGTTTAAAAACGACTTCAAAGGAAACACTGTTGGTTAGGTACCTTTTTACACGAGCACCGTCCATAAAATGCATATAATATTATTGTGTTTATGTTTTCACGCGCAATAGAAAATGTCCACAACGTACAATGACAAAAATAATTTTTATTCAAGTAGAATTTAACAATAAAAACATATCAAAAGTACATGATAATATACAAATGATTTCAGCATTACTCATCACGTTTATTTGTACACCAGTTATTCAATGTTATCGCATTCGTAGAAAGAATAAAAACAAAACAGACGAAATAAAAGTAAAATATTATTTTCGTAGTAGAAACTATTATCATTACTATTACTATTATTATTATTATTATTATTATTATTTATAGTACTTATTAGTTTTATTAGAGATTTGATTCCCGGTGTAATAATGCAGTTTTTCGATGTTCCGCAATGGCACTCGACGGATGACAATAATTTATTTCTCAAAGCATAGGCGTGCGCACGAGTGTGCAGCGAACGGTACTCTTACCTTTCGCTGCACCTGACCATTTGTTTTAAACCGGTGAAAATCTTTTATTTGTAAGGCTTAGGTGATAACTAACAATGAATAATTTTAAAAATATTTAATAAAATTGTAATATGAATGTCCCCTTCCAATGTTAATCAAATGAAAAGTGATAAAAATATTTGTCATCTATCAATGCGAAAAGTCTAAAAATAGATGAGTTTTATATTGACAGACGTATTCGCACACCAAGTACACCAAAGGCTTCCTTAAGCGTCCATTTTTAGGGGAGAGGGTAGAAACTAAACGTATATAAGCTCAGTCTTTGCATATTATATTATTTAGTATTACCTATATTGCTTATTAGAAAATATATATTTATTTTTATGAATATTTCTTAAGAGGGTGGTGTATCCATTGGTGTTGCCTTTGCCTTGGACATGGCGTATCTTACGTTCAGAATATTACCCTGTTATTTTTAATAGTATGGTGAATTCACCAACTTTCTGTGTTAAACGCAAGACTATTATTCAGTGTAATTCAAAGGCATTTTTTTGTATATTAATTTTAAATCAAGTTACGAGTACGATTCAAATTTGTATGTATTTGCATACTTTTTCTGGTTGATCATACTGCAGTATACCGAGCTCGAAATATGTCCCACGAAAGTGTCATTAAAAATAAGATTGGTTTTAGACTTTAGAGTATATTTTATACATTTAAGTTCAAATTTAGTCTTTTAAATGCGATTTGTAACACGTGTATTTTATTAATAATTTTTAAGAAGACGCAACTTTAACGCACGACATAGCAAATTTTAATATGGAAACTCTTATTTAAATAGTGTGCTGTTAGTTTTGGTATTAAAGTGACCTATTATCACTTTTTCGGGTAAGAACATTATCTATGCTTCAGCGTCATTCATTTTTTCGATATTTTGATTTCCAAATAAAATACGGAGAAGTGAATTAAAATTTAAAATTTAAAAATTTAAAATTAATACATCTCGCTTGAAAACTAAAATAAAATATCTAACAAAAACCAAAGTTTCAGCACAGATGATATTTTTATCTAAAAGTTTGATAATAGTTAAATTCACTATAATATCAAAACACACTGTACACATATGTAGTCAAATATCAAAAAAATAAAAACTGTTTTATTTTTGTTGATCTCGTACGTATAGGTATGTATAACTTACTACCTTATACATCGGGATAAATAATGTAAAATAAATTATTAACGTTTATTATCACTTATTAAATGACAGTATATTAATAAATTGTTAATTTATTTTTAAAAAATTGTTAAGGTATTTTGGAAATAATAAACAATTGTTTATAGTTAATTATTATAGAAACATTGCTTATCTGTTGAAAATAAGGTTTTAGGGCCATATTTGGCATTTTATCGGTATGACCTTACTGATAAGTTTTTAATTGTTTCAAAAATCACCCATAACTTGTTTCAAAATTAAATTATCAAAAATAAAAAATTACTAATCAGGGCCCTAAGTAATATTCTTACCTTTAAAATAGGTTAAACTACTTTAACATTAAAAAAAATAGAGTAAAATGGATTATTCTGAACTTAAAATTTGATAGAATACTGTGCGTTAATTAGACAACACATGCGTGCACGACGCGACGTCCTATCAAGATGTTACGGGGAGAGAATTTTAACCTCATAACATTAAGCGACAAAATATAACATAATTATCTATCACGTAGCAATCAGTATGAATACTCGTTATAATCATTCATGTACAATATTGTATTAATACATAAATGTAAATTAGAAACAATTCAGTACCAAAAAAATTAACTATAAAAATAAGCTAATACATTTTTTTTTTGAATATCTACGAAATACTAGGTTGGTGGGACTGCCAACTTTTCTCAACCCTCGAAGATGTCACTGACGTTGACAAACAAGTAAGTCATTATTTTATCTCACGCACATTAATTTACCCGACAGATAATTAGGAAAATAAATGGAATCCTTATGGTTTTATTATTATCGTTCTGGTCTGCACCAGAGAAACACACAATCCCGCGCACGCCCATGACTTGAAGTCATAAAGAATAATCACCTCTATAATAATATTATGATAATACCTACGCAGGTTGGGCGTAGCTATACAAACGATTATACAATAATAAATATCCGTTTAAAAACGGTTCGAACCAGTGGCGTGGAGAAATTGAAATTTTCCAGAGGTTAGACAATATAATATTTCACTCTTGCAGCACCAACAACCCGATGTACAGTTAACATTAAAAAAGATCACCCGGGTCATCAACAGCCCACCCCTCCCCCCTCAACAGGTTGACTGCTAAAATGTTAACATAACACATACTATATAGGTCAAGCTCGAATCTTTGTTTTGTGACATAATCCGGATATGAAACATGGCACACTATCGAGCGGTGTTGTTTTTTGGATCAATCCTTCATCAGCGAAATTCGATTGAAATATATCGAAATCAAAATGTCCTCAAAAACATTTTGGCAACCTAGCCACGCGGCAGTCGGCCAAAAAACCCTTAGCCACGCCACTGGTTTAAGCGTTTTACAGCGCGGATTCATTTGCATATGATCCTATTTGAGCGTACATGTTCCGCACATCGTAACGCAAATGCTGTCCCCGGTTGTTGTTGTCTTCGTTGGTGTCGTTCGGTAAATGACCGTTTTGACGAGGCACAGCTGGCCCGGAAACAGCGTGTTCTGCCGCCGCCGCCGCCGACGTGGTCCGCTTTTCCGGCTCGACTTGTCGGATTTCAGTGTCGCCGTCGTCACCGTCGTCGTCGTCCCGGTGGAAAACTGGAAAATTCTCGCCCTTCATCGTCTCCACTAGCGTGCCGATGAACGTCTCTTGCACTCGCTTGTCGTCGGTGTTACCGTCCACCTGGGCCATTAAGACACACAGATAATTGTAAAGATCAAAATATCGTACATAATTAAGAAACTGTGTCCGGTAAACAAATGGTGAATTTGGCAAAAAAAATAGATTGTATAAAAAGAATTAGTATTTTTTAACCAAAAATCGTAAAATAGATGTGTAGTCAATTATGTGTCGTTGACCTATAAGAGTGATGAATTGAACTATTATCAAACTTAAGGTAAAACTATAATATTATCCGGGGAAACTCTTAGATAATTATTAATATTATCCGGGGAAACTCCTAGATACTTATTAATATTAAAATTTGAAAGCTTATTTTATCACTTTAAAATTGTTAAATTTTAATATTGTGTAGCTATACATCGTACAAAAAAAAATCTTAATATTTACTATTTAATATAAGTACCTAATAAATAATATTACTGTTTTTAAGGTCAATACTATTATCTACCTATATTTTTAATCATCTCATTCAGCCGAATATTTTTTTGAATATTTTAATAATTTCTTGAGACAATATTAATGGTTTATTATATTTTGAAAATTAAATAATATTGTGTTATAATTGATACGACGATTGACTGTATTGATGTTTAAATAAACGGTCTTTCAGTAATAAGCAACATTCCTCGATATTTTACTAGTCTCAATTTTATAGTAAAAATAAATGGTAACAAAAATGATTTTTTTTTTTAATGTTATACTATCGTAATTTTTTGGAAACACAAACATTGAATAGCTCCATTTAAAACCATTAATATTAATCGACCAGGTCGTGTGTTAGGTTTTTTTTTGAATTTTTAGATAAAAAATAAAATTATCTTTCAATTCGTTTTCGGTACAATAATATTTACATAACAACTGTATTCTCTTAGAATCTATTTGAATTCTTAACCGGTCAACCGTGCCCGTACAGATTGGTAATGTATCACATGTTTGAACTTTCTACCATCTACTCACTACGGCTAAGCGGTTGTCTTTATCCAGTGCCTTGAGCATCGGTAGAGTTTGTTCGCGGAAACTCTGCAGACGCCGGCGAAACGCCGACACGCTGTCGTCTAGCCTCCCGCGACCTAACTGCAACTTTGAGCAATCCAACAGTATCAACTTCGGCCGTTGAGCATACTGAAAAACAATATTATCGTGAATATTACCATCATTTTATCACAAGCACGTGATATTTCGTGTTTTATTATTTTCGTATATTATTACTCAAAAGTAACCAATGAAGTTACTACATAATATTAAAAAATTCATATTACTGTCAAGGCTATGCATTAACTGTTATAATTAAAAAGTTCACTTTCAACTAAGTTACTTAACGAGTTAGGTACTTCTTTTTAGATTGCCTCCGAATTTCAAAATGCTCGATTTTTGGAAACAACGTGTTCATGAGTTTAAAATATTAAGAATTTACATTTTTTGGAATTTTCTTTTTACGGAATGTCGGTTGTCAAATAAAAATGTACTTATCTTACTTACTTCTTTTTATTGTTAGTAAGCTATGTAAAATTTACAACTAAGTTTCACGTGGATTATGAACAATAAAAAAAGTAAGTAATAGTGTTGAGCATAAAAATACTAAAATTTCCAAAGAAAACAATTTCAAAAAATTGCTTTATAAGCAAACTTCATTCGTTCCTAAAGTTTAAATGCGTTCAGTTTACAGTTTAATCGCTACGCAGTAATTTTTTTTCTTAGCACTCCTGGTGGACAGTGCCCACCCTAAATGCCGTCGAATTACGACTCATTTTGTGCCTACACCGTATTATCTACTTGGTGGTTCTAACGCAACGAGTTAAATTTTTGATCTTGATAGGTACCTTTTTTTCAAAATAGTTGAGCTGTCCAATATTTCTTGGATAACCATCGATCACGATACCCTCTGCATTTTTGTACTTGAGTAACTCTTTATCTAATATTTCGTGAACTATCGTCTGTAAAAACAAAAATATAGTCAGTGACGTGAACACCGGATATATAGTCATCGTCACCTCTTCGATGATATGTCCACTGCTGATCGTCTCTTGAAGCGGATCTAAGGACGACGCTAGTGACCGCATCAAAGGTCCAACGCTGACATGCCCCCAACCGGCGTTGGCCCTGAGCACTTTTTGGCACAATGAACTCTTGTTGCTGCCGGGGCCACCTGTGAGCACCCACACACGAATTAATACATATTATTATTACATATTGTCCAAGAGCCACCATTTTGTGATCTCTCCGTTAGTAGGGTGCAAAGGCACCTTTAAAGTATTAGTTCGGCTGATTTGGAAAAAAATTCCAAACGAGCTCAAAACTACTAAAATGCAATCCACTCATCATTTCGTGTTAGACCTACGACGTGTGTGTTATTGTCTCGATAGCACTCACCCACAACGCAAATGGTTCGCGGAAACGTTTCCGGTTCCGAGACAAAGTCCGTGGCCCGTGGTTCCGGTACGAGATTCACGGTGTGGTGGCTATTCGGGCGCTCGACGTCGACTTCCGGTTGCTCGGTACCCTGTCTATCCACTGGCACGGTACCGTTGGCCACTGCTACCGGAGCGGGATTCTTGTGGGCGCTCAATATTTGAAGTACCGAGGACCGGAAGTCGCTATACACTTCCGTCGGACTCCGCTCTCCGTTCACCTTCGGACATAACAACATATTGTTGGATTAGTACTCTCTATCATTCCGTAATAAAAATTAAGGTTTCCTCATAAGAAAATAAAAATTCATATAAATAGATAACGAAATAAAAAAGAACGTATTTACGTAACTTCATTCAGAAGCAAATAAGCTGTAGGTAAGTATGTCCAAATACTAGAATGAGGAGCAGAAAGTTATCTGGAGTTACCTGCGCTTCAACCTGATTATTGTATTTATAGAGCAGTTTTTTAAACGGTAATAATATGACCAACAAAATTCAAATTTTTGGTTTAAATTTAACATTGGTCCCGAAATAGAATTGATACACTACCTTATAAGCTATAACTATATTACAGGTAACTTGATACTTAATAATATTATTATAGCTTAAAAAAAATGCTGCATTTAATTCAGTTATGTTTTTGAATTTTAGATATTCAAATAAGATGCAGTTATCACATGTACTTATCTCGGTACATTTAATAAATACATCTGCAAAGTCAATCTAATATTAAAATGTGCATGTGATCACAACTTAATCGAATATCTAAAATTTTAAAACACATAATGTAGACGCATCATATTTTGATGAACACATATTACGCTAATTTTATCAGAAAGTATTTATTATTAACTCGAATTAATAAAAGTGTAGGTAACCTACTTTTCGCTTTTTGTCTTCTGATTCATAAGAATTTTTTTAATTATTATACATTTTTTTATAAGCCATTATGGATTAAGTCCATTAGAATCCATAAAAAGTTATACATTTCATTTGTGTTTAACAGACGTTCTTGTAAGCCATATTATAATAACATTATTATTTTCACTTTGCAGACTAATGAAGTGTTAAAACTTAAATTTAATTGTTTCCTAAAGAACTATGATAATTATGGAATTGTCCCGCGTATGGTGGCGTATTATAGTGGTAGATATTAATTTTTCGATTTTCGTCTCGATGATTCGTTACACTCACCGAAATGAGCATTCCCCTCTGGTCATAAAAGTCCGACACCGGAGTGACGTTTTTATAGAAGTTATTCAGCTCCATCCTAGCCAGACTCAAGACGACATGCCCTAACTTTGCACCGTAATCGATTTGGCGTTCTAGCACGTTTTGATTCCACGATATCAGAATAACTCCGTTCACGACTTTGATCTAAACAATACAAACATAATATCATTATAATCAGACAATAATAAGCTTAAATAATATTTTGCACAGTCGTTATGATAAATTAAACAATATTTTAATATATTTTATCAACGTCTGTTGGAACTATAATATTCATAGGCGGAAATCGGGGGGGAGGGGGCTAGAGGGGACTAAGCCCCCTCAGAATTTTAAAGTACAGGTCTTAGCCCCCCCTGGCCCTCACAATTTTAATGTAACTAAATATATAAAAATGTATAATAATTAGTATAGTTAAAAAATGCATTTTCAATATCTGAATTACAAAATAAATTATAAAAAAATATTCTATGATAATAATTAAATTAAATTCGTAAAATTTTACGAACTTATTGTTATAACTTGGAACGATCGTAATTAATGTAATATTAATAATAAACAATTACATCTGCATTGGTTGTTTATCAGCAGTCGTTCGCGTCGCGTCGTCCCTGTTTCGTATAAACGGTTACGTAATAATATGCTATTTTTAACTATAATCATGAAGATTTTTATTAATATTACGCAAATTTAAAAAGTTTCGAATAAATCGATAGAGCCTATTAACTCAAACTTTGTTTTTACTGAACACGATAATATGCTTCCATGTCAATATTATTTTCAAATCCAAACAAAAACTGAGAAGCAACATCTGAAGTATGAACGACTTAATACAATTATTTATAAACTAAATAATGATTTTATTTCAATAGGTACCTTATTTGTGTATTCAACTACATCGCGCATACTTCTTGGGAATCCCGATACCAAAAACGTTTTGGCCGCAGGAGACATTTTAAGCTCCAACATCAATACCTCAGTGACCGTCTTACTGGAGAGTTTGCTGAAGTCTTCCATATCTGAACAACAGTTGCACAAAAATATTATCCATACATTGCAAAAAAATTAATAATTCCAACACGATTAATAACCAGACAATTTTTTTTTTATTGAAATTTTTGGTGCACAAAACATTCAAATGGTTTGTAATTAAAAAATGACATCTAATTAATGCTCTAATATTAAGTGAAGTAGACTGTTTTGGAATAGACTGCAGACAACTATCTAAATTTAATAATATTCATAGTATTATTCATAGTTGTCTACAGTCATTTGATAGTTTTTAATTGTTCTATTTAATAAGTCAATTTGAGTCAAATAAGAATGGGGATTCCAAGAAGTACCCTAAGAAATATCCTATAAACTATAGTGTTTTCAAGATAAGTTTTTTCTTTTTTTTAACCCGAATAATAACTATTGTTATATTAGTTAATAATACTTTTAATTTTTACAGTAACATGTTTAAATATCATTTTTGTATTTAGCCTTACTTCTTGGTTGAAAATACTTGATAGGAAATTTTAGTATATCACTGTCGAGTGTTCAAAGGGTCAATTATAAAAAATGTTAACTAAACTTGAAGACGAATTTTAATTTACCAATGAGAATACATAATAAAAATTTAAAGTACCTATTTTACAGGTGGTTCCATGTGTTTAGAGTTGATGGTAACAGTTGTGTAATTATGTGATACTACAAATTCATATCTCTTGTAACATTATAAAAACGTATGAAAAAATCACTTGAAGAAAAATATTTATACGAATCTAGTGATTACTAATAAATGAAAAGTTAAAAATGAATTTAATATCTATTGTATAATCAATGCACAACAAATAATTCAATATATTATTTGTTTTAAGCAATTGCTACCATATTGTTATGCACTATTTGTATAAACGGACGTTTCATTGTTCCCAAAATATTGTTTTACCTAATTTACGTAAATCTCAAATTGTACCTTTATTGGGTACTTACGTTTATCCTGAATTCAAGCTACTATTAAATGTTTGCGCTATAATTATCCAAATGTGTGCTTTTCTACTAAAAATGACGTTCAATAAAAAAAAAGTATGTTTGACCTACCTTCAGAATAGGTAGGTACTCGAAAACATTTAAAATTTAAACTTGAATGCATATCGCATATAAAAACTATTATTTATATACTTTAAGAGAAAAATTGCATTTCATTGACATTTTCCATGTACCATTTCATTATCATAATCATAAACATAATGTATCCTTGCAAGTTGGCAATTTTGGTTTGAGATATTCAATTTATTATTTTTAAGTATGATATTTTATTCTCACAGTTCGTACTGGAAAGTGTTATAAATTAATGCGACTGTTTGAACAAAAATGTTTTGCACACTATTGTTATACATACACTTCATTTTTTCGTATATTTTTTTTTTTTTGTACAATATAAAATATAAATGAGCCGTTAGAACGTATAAATTCGTCACCGGGAGTGCTCCGCTCGTCTTATTTTTGATATGTATCTAAAAATTATAGACTGTCTGTTTGAGTGTTTACTCAGTGCTTCGTAGAAACCGATATGGACTACTATCAAATATTTTTCATTCATACATTACCATCGACCTTGATTATGACTTGATATTTACCAAAGCCCGGACTTCGGGCCAGCATATTATGTTAGTGTTGTTTTTAAGTTTTTACTGTTTAAAGGAGTAGGAGACCTTTCCAGACCTTCGGTAAACACATCACATTTCGTTTTTAAACCAAAACAGCCAACTGTTCCCAATTCGATTTAAACAGGTCAGGGACAAACGACAGGAGCATTATAATATTATTATGGTGATCGGCAGGTAGGTGATTGGCCATCGTAAAAGTAAAACGTTTGGGCAAAATCAATATAATAAATTCATTATTTTAGATTAATTTGTATTTTTGACAATTATTACGTTCTGAGTTGTGAAAAGGGTCATCGGAAAATGTATTTTATTAACTTTAACATAATTATTTAAATGTTTTATTTGAAGCTAAATGTTTAGAATCTCATCAACGATTAATCTATTATCTATACACACTGCATATGTATATAAATATATAAATGTATGCCTGCCTAAACGGCCGGACCGATTTTGATGAAATTGTATGATGCAAATATGATTGACCCACGTTAATTCCCAACCATTCCAAAACTGACAAATATTATCCATGAAACAATAAATTATATTCCAATAGGATTTGAATATATTCAGAATACTTTAATATTAATACACATTTATTCGAATACAAAATAAAAGTATTCTTTGCAAGGCTGCTAGTAACTTAAATTTATTACTTTTCAAAAAAATTTACGACTCACTATAGTGTCGTCCACCTATAGTGCAATACTCTGCTTTTTTACAGCGTTATTGCAGCTGATATTATATAATAATATAGTAGACGACAGTATAGTGGTGTACCTGGCCATAATTTTTGCTAGGTGGTTTATGGTTATGAATATCACGCAACACAAGTTACATTATACATATTATACAAACTATAACTTTGATTATAATCAAGAAAAATATTTTGTTGTGTAATTATGTCTATTATTATGATCAAAATAATTGAATGCATAATGGTGATAATAAATTATAAAATAAAATTCATTTTCCCTTAAAGATTAATCCCAGATCAATGAATTCATCTAGGTAATGATTCGATAAAAATTAATAAGCACGGCTCAAACTCGTGACATAACCCACAAACAACCCTCTCGGATGCGCCAAGGGACGACTTCGGACGTCTAAGGAAAGGCGAGTAAAGTCAGGATTACCGAAGGAATCCAAAGAATTTATACACACACATATATATATATATGCAGTGCACAAAACGACAGGTGAGGTGACTATACCCACCCTTCGGTTTAGTTTGACAGAGCCGATAGCTTTGTTAAGTCTACTCTGACATGTCAAGGTTGGCTTAAAGTCAATGGACACAATAAATAGTAATATAGGTAGTTCAATCGTTGATTTATTTATATATTTCGTTTCAATATCATTGATTGTATTAACATCATAGTCAAACATTTAAAATGTATAATTTTACAGTGAATAATATATTATGAATATTGAATATTATTTGATCGATTTTGACCGAAAAAGTATAACTCACTATTATTAATTATTGGATCTTATCTTTTTTTATTTCAAAATTGTTCAACTAATTTTATTTCGTTCTCATAGAGTTCAATTTAAAAACACAATAGGTACATTGCTTTATTCGAAAAATATATGTTAGGTACTTATCATTTTTAGTTTTTTTTCTCTAGGAGCAATGGCTTTGAAAACTTAGGTCAATAGCCTTTCACGTTTTTTTTTTTTATAAAAGTATTTTTTTTACCAGTCCTATACATTTTTTTAATGGTCACTTTTTTTTATAATTACACATTCTGAAGCATAATATTTTCTAGAAAATAATCATGCACATTGTATAAATTTTAATAACGTTTAAAATGTAGTCTTCAGCAGTGCTGAGTATCGTGAATAGAACACCCTTCGCAATCTGATTCCGCTTATCCGAAATTCAAACTTTAACCTTTGGGGGTGGGAGGTAATTATTTACCAGTCTATTTTTAATTTACTATAAATTAATTTTTAGGAATTTTCTATACTACGATTATTCTTTTAGCAATAATCGTACAATCACCAAAATGTTAAAATAAAATTTTTTCCCAATTAATATACTTCAGTGTAGACAGAAAAACATGTTTTATAATTTCTGATACAATAATCAACACGCTTAATAATTCATATAATTGTATTAAAAATATTACTATGATTATATGAACGGTAAAAAATTACCCCATACGCGAAACTATGAGGGCTAATACCACACTAAAATATTTATAAATACTTAATACAAGTAGTAAGCATATTTTGGAAATAACTATTATACGAGTACATAACTATGAGTCACCTTCAACAATTATAAACAATCATACAATAACCCCCCCCCCCCTCCACTCAAAGTACCATTTTTGTGTGAACGCAACTTATATGTCGTATTTATTGAGAAGTAATTTTCGTGTAGAACGATAATTTTGTGTCGAAATTACTGAATCATATTAAACATTCTTGGTTGTTAAATTTGCAATTTTCCTTAATTTAAGAGCTGGGCACATGAGAATAAAATAAACGTAACAAAGGTGTTCAAAACAGGTATAATTTCGCATTTAAAAATAATTTTAAAAAATATTAAACATTGTTATTAGTCAATATCGGGTAACAATGCATAAAATTCATTCATTTGTTGTTAGTTTTGATCATTTGAGGGTTTCAATAAATTTGATCATGGATTTTTTCTCGCTCCTATCATTTCGTAAAATTCGGAACGCAAAAAAAAAAAGGGAACCTGCCTGCCGCTATTAAGTTGCGTCCGAGCATGTTGGACACGACTTACCTACCGCAATATTAGAAATTTTCATAAACATTTTTACGGGACATAAGTAACATGCGGCCCGCATACGGCACCTAAAATTATTTTTTCATGATGAAAGGGGGTGTGGATGATCGTTTAACATATGCACTATATTTTTTCATTAAAAATTTAATTTATAGTTGTAACTTATAAGTATTGAATAAATGCCACGGGGCGATCTTTCCGCCCATACGATTTAAACTCCACTTCAGTGCCCATATGTTCATACGTGTAGCACATTTTATTCTTTATAATATAAATATATTATAATTTTTATAACTGACTGGAGATTTTCGTTTCTAGCATAAAAACAAGACAGTAAGGAAGTATAAAAAAAGTGATTATATCATCCCAAGCCTAATTTGTCAACCGGCGAAGGTAGGAATCTAAAGATAACGAAAAAGAAATTTGTGGGCAATTTAAATCGATCTTATAAAGTGTTTAAATAATAGTGTTTGTTTCAATATGCATTAGAATTTAAATTTTAAACGTTTTCGAGTATTCTGAAGGTATTTTAAATATATTTTTTGTTTATTGAACTCCATTTTCAGTAGAAAAGCATACCTTTGGATAACTATAGTATTATTTAATAGTACTTCGAATTCAGGATGAACACAAGTACCCAATGTGGGTACAATTTAAGGTTTAGATTAGGTAATACAATACTTTGGAAATCGTGAAACATCCGTTTGTATAAATAATCCATAACAATATGGTTAAAATTATTTAAAACATAGAATAAATCGAATTACTTGTTGTACCTTGATTATTAAATAAATATTAAATCATTGTTCAACTTTTCATTAACTATTAATCACTGATTCGTATCAAAATGTTTCTTTAAGTGATTTTTTTTGGTAAGATTTATATTTAGGTTATACTCTATGATTTTACTTTAAATAACTTTAAATTGAAATTGTAAAGTCTGGTGTATTTATATATTTAAAAAAGTTAAACATTGTAAATGAATATTGAATAAAAAAAAAAAACAATACGGGGTTTGTTACTTTAAAAATAGTTTTAAAATAACTCAAAATATTTTCTCAATTTATTATTAATATTATATATTTATATTAATACAGTTAGGGCTATATATTTTCGTTTTATTTATTTTAGTGTAATACGTAGCAGTTTAAATTATGTAATAATATAAAGTCGATTTAAAAAATATTTGTTTTACATAACGTAACATTTTTGATTATTATTTGGTAATTATCTATCTAAAAAAATTAAATATTTCATATATTTTTGTAAACTAAATAATATGGACACTACAGTCTTTTCTCTCCAATAGAAAATTACATTGTTTTATATTTTTTAAATGTTTATTCTTTTTAAAGTTAGGACAAGCAGCCTATGTCCGACATATTTTTATAGGCGCCTAAGCACACTAAAAATGAATAAACGACTGTGTGTGCACTTAATATGTGCAAATCGTAAACTATTGATTACCAAATGTGACCAAAAACCAATTACCATCTACCGTAGACCCTCGGTAAATCGAAATGTAAATCCAGTGCTAGAATCGGGAAAACTTAAGAAGTGGCACTCTGACTATTTGCACAAAGTAAGCGTCCCCGTTACTTTTTACAACTCGTTGTAACGAAAAAAAATACTTGGGGGACGCTTGAATTCTTAAAAATTGGTCGAGGTACTCAGTCCCCGCGCAACCCTCTTCCTCCGATTCGAGCATTGGGTAAACCTTCGACTAAATTGTAATTTTTCAATGTTGGTGATAGCCAAACGAACTTACCGTTTCCAACAGTGTACTGTTGTAGTAAGTCGGTCATGTTAATGTGAACAATGCCTCGCTTTTCTATCATCAAGTTGTCACAGTGAGTGACCTTGCCACTTCCAGGTCCACCTGTGCACGAAAACTTTCGGTCAAAAGGCTGAGCTATCGCTATACAGCAACTTTATACTTACCAAGCACAAAAATTACTGGAACTTTCGGTGTGTCAAATTTCACATGACCGTTTGTGTACGCAAACATTCCAGTATCATTTCTGTTTGTATTGTCGGTATCGTCTGCTTCCCAATTTTCTCTATCCTTGGAACCGTTTTTAAATTGCTCGTCATCGGGAATTTTGTCTGTAATGAAAAATTGTTTAGAATAAATAAAAATACCTACACTAGTATATTATTATTTTTCTAGGACTCAAGTCGGCTATGTCATCGATGCTAATCTATCACCGAAATTAACGATCGATCGTTATAGGTATTTTGGATTCATTATCGAAAACAATTAATGTACTTTTTTTATTAATATTTAAATTTTATATTTACATGATATGATATTTATTAATATTGTAACAAAAAATAAATAACTAAAAAACACAAATATCAACGCATTTGTACAAAATAAGTGGTTTTTTGTACGCTGGCTAGTATATTTTCATATCTTACACATTATGTTATACTATGTTTTCAGTTAAATTGTTCATAATCGATATTCTACAAATAACGAGATAATAAATAAGTAGGTAGATAGGTAGGTAAATTAAGCGTGATAGTGTCACAGATTATATTATATTATATTATATAATCTGTGATAGTATCATATGTTAACTAGTAATTACATACATTAATATCGTTCACTATACACTCGAGTGTTAAATTGCACAAATTGTTTTTTTGTTAATTTACTGTAAGTACCTACAACATGAATATTTAATGTAGTTATGACACAATAATCTAAAACTAACCTATTACTTTATAATTTATTTCCTATTGTTTGATACTCAGTTGTTTATATACTTGTAAAATTGTTTATCTTGAGTAGCATACTGGCTGATGCCTGATATTTTTATTGTTCTTTATTATAAAATATGTCTGTAAGACTGCAAAATATATGCCATTCGAGGATGTTTTCAAAAAAAATAGACGCGCGGACGAAGTAAAACTCTCTTACAGAGGGTATGAAAATGCAAGGTCAATCTATATTAAGTTTTGTATTTGAAAAACTAAAAAATTAATTTTTAAGTGAAATTGATTTATTATTATTATACACGGATAAGGTGATAAGACAAATTTATTATTATTTATTTCCATACTAACTTTTGTTTCCAAACAGACCACAGGATTTTTCCCACAGACCCTTAACTACTAGACAAACAATGAGTGTATGAAAAGCTTAACGACGTAGATGGAGCTTTTTGATTGCTCTTAAGCATAATTTATTTTTTTATTTTTCCATTACAAACCTAATATTCGGCCGTGATGAACCTTATTTTATATCCTCTGTAAAAGTGAGGTTTCCACTTTACACATTCCCTTAAATCCTTTGCTGTGATTGGTTGATAAGGTTCAACTAGCACACGATTAACCATGTTACAACCATGTTACATTACCATGTTGTTGGACGTAGCTGAACATTTTTCAAATTTCATCCTCGCGTGCTATTGCAACACGTACGATTTCTTTGGACCTTTGGTATCATGTTATAAGAAATTCTTAATCAGTAAACGCAGTGGTGGCATCTGGGGGGTGCATGAGGGTGCAGTTGCACCCACGACAATTTTTCTAGGGGGGCAAAAGTATCATTTTGCACACACGACACAACAGTCAAAAATATTATATTATATTTTAATGATTGCATTGCAACATTGCTAGCAATAGTAATATAGTTTAATTTTGATTATTATCATGGATTAAATCAACATTTTAAGTATGAATTGATTACTCAATTAATTGTCATACTACTCATACTCTTAAAAATGAATTAAATTATGGAAATTATTTATTTCGCAATAACTAAATAATGCAGTAAGCTGATTGGTTACTAGATAGCGATATGGTCCTAACAAATTGATATAAATAATATGATTATAAACCATAATAGTAAATAAATGGGAATTGATGATTATCACGATTTCAGGAAATTTCCGAACATTTTCGGGAATCCACATTGGGAATTGTCCAACCCTATAATCGCGCACAACTAACATATGTTGCAATATTAATATGTTTCAATGTGAAAATAATATCATAAAACCTATACGTCAATATAATGTTACATAATTCACCGTTATACGTAGTTATACCTCATATACCATATGTTTACTTTACATAATATGGCAGTTGCGTGCCATATATTTTGTGCAAGAGAGGCGAGTGGTATTTTGTTCATTCTCCAAGTTATTCGAACGCTTTGTGCGTGACACTAAATTTTTGTACAGCCACGTAAAGGCTTAATACATGAGTTCCGAAAGCAAAGGTCAAAGGTTTTTGTTTTTACCATATTTTGCACTATATAAGTACTATAACGTGCCAAATGAAAATTAATTCGCCCTGGCCTTTGGGTATATCCAGCCGTTTGCATTAAATTTACCCGAGTACACATTTTACAACAAAGACTTGGTGCAGTTCATTTCTGGAGGCACAACGCACGTTGTATGATATCATTTTTTTGTAACATTGTAATAGTTATAATAAACTTTTTTTTCAAATCATAGTCAATAATAGGAATTTTTTTAATATACATTTTTTGATCTATTACACCAAGTTGTTTTGCAAAATGTTAACAGGTTAATTTGAAGCAGATGGACTGTATCCAAAACTAATTAATTGTTTTGGTTATTTAAATGTTTAATTCCTCTTAAATCCTTCATCGAATACCAATGATCCACGATCCATGGCCTGTAAGACATAAGTGCCAAAAGTATAAAAATAGTAACACAATATCATTTGCACAAAAAATAGTAAGAATAGTAAGATATAAGCGCCAATATAAAATTATGACTTCAAGTTATAATAATATAGGACATAAACACCAACGATATTTAAAAAATATTTATATTTTTTTATGCATTACAAAATATTCAAACTAGTTAATAACTGTCATAATATCTAGTTATATAATCGTTAAAATCTAAAATTGAGTACAGCGGTCTTTATCGTTATATTGTCTTGTAGAATTCATTTTCACTACTGTTTAGATTACTCGAATGGTTACTTCGAAAATGGGTAAGTAGGCACTTACATTAAAATTAATGTTATAATACAAAAACTTGGACGCTCTATCGTAATCGGGGCTATTACTTAATATTTTGTCGATTAAGAATAGGTTTATGTTTAGTGTTTTGAACTATATAGTTCAACATTTAATACCTGGAATGAAGCACTCAGATAACTTGGGTGTCGGCACTTTTATACGATACGATTTATTTTCTTGTCTTGTGTAGGTGGTATTATGTCTTCTGTAAGATCCACCGTAGCGATACACGATGATCATCATACACGGTACCATCATTATACTCTCTAACCGTAGATAAGACGTTTGGTTTCCGCGGTCTACAGTAAATCCGGTAACCTCCAGAATTTTTTTTTTTTAATTTTAAGTTGGTTAATTTTCTAACTATAACTTAATATTTATTATTAAGCTACCTAAATTATTTATGTGGCTATTGTAATATTCACAATAATTTTCAATACGGTTTTGAAAAATCATGCATTGTTATAGATATTTACACGGTACAACAGTGATTAAAATTAATTATAGGTAGGTATCGTTATTTATTTCATATTGTGCTGTTTAACCGCGCTGTATAATTAACATAAATTAAGTTTTAAATAAAAACAAAACAACATATATTTTTGATTTACTTGATAATGTACTAGACACAAACATGAACGTTTAATAGCTTACCGACCACTGTATGTATTGAGTACCTAACTGATGATTATTGGATTGCAAAATTGTTTTTTATAAATGGAAACTTGAAAGTTATTCTATCCCTATATATATGGCCTCGTAATGTACTCAATGAAGAAAAATATGTATATTCAATTGTTTAACTTTAGTTAACTTCTTATCGATATGAATAAATAAACAGTAAAGAACTAACTCGATTTAACTGTGAGGTGAGAAACTTTGAGAGAGATAAAAATACTTTGTTGAAGATATTTTTTCAAGTGTTTGAAATACGTATTTGAGAGGGAAAGAACTAAACCCTGCAGTAATAGTAAGATAAAAAATAATATTAATAATTGGATGATAATTTTAATGCGGTTAAGTCTGGTATTGGTTTTGTGTTTCTGTGTGACCACAGATTCATATTTTTCATGTACCTAAGGCAATACAACAACAACAACATTGTAATCGTATATGGTTATGAGAGGTTTATTTTATCAGTAACACACAAAAGTTGTACTACAATAATTTAACCACCAGTTAAACGTGAACAATTAATATCATAAAATGATTGCAGTAGTGTTATTGTTCTATTTGTGTTGTCAGGTGCATCCGAATTGCGTGCGATGGTCGATGGATAAGAAATATGAATTGCAAATTCGAAATGCCAAGCAAATCGCGTGTGAGACTTAAGTAGTATAATAACTAATTTAACATAATATCCTAGGTGCATGCAAGACCTATGTTTATTTTAATTTCGTGTTTTAATTCAATGTACATACAAAAAAACACACAGGCTTTAATTATTCACAACAGGTGGGTGGCGGCAGTGTTCACTATTTTCCATTACCTACCTATTATATTATTTACTCGATGTTACTACTAAGTTATACCTATACTAATGTTGACATTTCTAGTGACTGTTTGGATAGAAGGTGTACAATGAGTAAACTACGAAAATATGAATAAAGTTAAGAAATGTTTCCTATTCAACAAGGAAAAATATTTAATTTTCAAAAGTGTTCATAAAGCATCAATATCGAAAAAAATAAAACAAAACAGAAATCCTACATAAAATAATGCGTGCTTTAAATTGAATGATCATCACCTTGTTCGATATACAAAAATGTAATGTAATTTTTTTTGGATCCCCGACATGACATATTAATGTCAGAATATGAGGCTTTAATATTGACCAGAATAAGTAATTTATTAATTATATAATAAATATAATATTAAAACATTTAAAATGTGTTACGTGTTATAATATATTTAAATTTACCTAAATATTACTATGTTAAGGATGTTAATAAGGTTGTTTTAAGGTGTATGACCAAAATTGGTGATTATTGACAGTCATCAGTGTATGGACGACATTGACCCAAATTCGTATTGAATATTTCCGAGAAAAATAATGTAGTTTTCTAAACGACAGGAAGTTTTGTAATTCCAAATGTCA